CTTTCTGACCAACTTGTTCCCTGGTGAGAGCAAACAGCGGTAAGGCAGGAGCAAGTAGATCCCAGCTGTGCTGTGGCTGCCACCACATCTCTCCCTCAAAGAAGTGTCCAGACAGTTTTAGTTTCATACTACTATGAAAACAGAGGATGGCCTCTACTTAACTTTGTGCTTCCTAAAACTTGTAAGTAGAATCACTTTTTTGGAAATGCACACCAGTATATCTGGAGGTGTGCATTCCCCAGTGGGAGAAGCCCAAGACTGCATGTAGAGATAAAAATTGCAGTTCATGCTCTCCCAAGGTTTGCAGGAAGATTCTTTGTCTTTCTTACTAGGACACTCACTGGACCTTGAAATCTGTTTTTTATATGTAAATACCATAAAATGGGTGCCTGTTTCTGCTCCGATTTGGGACTATCACTTTGTTGAACTAGTATGTAAGATTCAGTTGATAAAATTTGACTCAACTTTTGTCTTTTGTGGGAAATATTTTTAAAACAGAAGCTTGAAAGTTTAAATAGATGATGGTTTCTTATTAATTGAAACTAGGATACTAAATATAGTCTTTCAAAAAATCAGTTAGACTTCATGTTAACTTCTTAAAATTTTAGTAACTACCATTTATGAAGTACTTTGTTCCAACAAAATTCCAAACCTTTAAATACATGTAAATACATAAACTCTCCTTTTGATTATACTGAAATTGGCTTATATATTTGCATAAATTAAGCTAAATGGATACTATTTTCTGAGAAAAAAATTATCATTTGATTTATTTAATGATTATACTTTTCAGCAGGTTTCGTAGTAATTTGACTCATAGAAGTCCTGTTAATATCAGATTTTCTTGAGATTTAAGTCAGAAATTGTGAAGCTTGTCAAGGACTCTGAATTTTTTTTTTTTTAAGATTTTATTTATTCATGAGAGACAGAGAGAGAGGGAGGGAGAGAGAGGGAGAGAGAGAGAGAGAGAGGCAGAGACACAGGCAGAGGGAGAATCAGGCTCCATGCAGGGAGCCCAACGTGGGACTGGATTCCGGGTCTCCAGGATCAGGCCCTGGACTGAAGGCGGCGCTAAACTGCTGAGCCACTGGGCTGCCCAAGGACTCTGAATTTAATGTTGTGTTGGTCGTTCAGAGTTCAGTGAACAAAGGTTTGACAGTAGAGAAGACAAAAAAGATAACAAGGCCTCATTTTCTTCTGTGTAAACTACAATTGGATCTAAAGACATTTGTGAAGGAAGAAAATAATGTGGCTCCTACACAGGTGTAATGATCAGATTTTCCAGGTTTGTTAAGTTCAGCTTAATTTCATGGTTGTTTTTTTTTTTTTTTTCAGTAACCATAATTTTTTTAAGTGTCACCAAATGGGATATAATTTCTATTCCTTAGTATGGCATACATTACCACAAGAGAAAAAAAAAAAAAGTTGTAGAGTTGAAGATCATCCAACCCATTCTTTATCGTTGGAGGATATAGTCTCTAACCGTCCAGGAAATGACCCTGGATATGTGGACTAACCTCTTGATATTTCCTCATCATGTTTGAATTAGAACCTATACTACTTTTTTGTTTTGTTTTGCTGTCTTTATTTAGTTTCACACTGTTACTTCTTTAAAAACGATTTGCATTATATCGTAATTTGTTATTTACTTTTTGCTTCTTCATATGAATCCATATAGTTTTCTTAACTACACATCATCAGGAGTTTTCATGTACATGCTAGGGTAGGTTGATGTGGTCAGTTTCTGTCATTTTTATTAGTATAGGCTCCACTGGATAGTCCTTCCACTACGAGTAGTATATGGGATAAATTATAAGCCATATTCGAGAAGCAGAATGTGCTTCCAGCACCACTTGTGCCCCCTGGTAAAGCTAGTCCTCATTCTAAGGTGGCATCCCTCCCATCACCCTGCCAACCGTTGCTTATTCATAAGGCAGAGTAGATTACCTAATGTGTAGGATTCATATTGTCATTTGTACCTCTTTTTAAATATATTTTTTACTTTTGAGATTCATCTAAAAGATACCTTTTTTTTTCTCCCTTTTCCATTAAATGGGCTTTTAAGAGGCTTTATCTCTAGGCCTAGTACAGTGATGGCTTGTATTCAACCCAGAGAAGAGCAAAACGCACATGTGCACATGGTATTCATAGGTGGCATGTTTCCCAGGATCTTGCTAAACCTCAGCTGCTTTCACATTAAAATATATTTTCTGTTCAGTAGAGTAGTTTCAGATGAAAACAATGCAGCTCTTGACCTAGGTGTATTGTATGTACATGTAGAATACTATAAAATAAAACTTCTGATTTTAGTATTTCTCTTGCATCTGTATGTGTAATCTGTTGTATCCTTTATTTCTCCTCTAATTTATTACCTCTTTATCCTTGTTTTCTTAATTGTTTATTAACTGTGATACAAATGCATTGAAGACTGATCATTTCTCCATTATAATAACTGAGGGCATGCAATTTTTTTTTCTATTCGTGAGAGATAGAGAAAGAGGCAGAGACACAGGCAAAGGGGGAAGCAGGCTCCATGCAGGGACCCCGACGTGGGACTTGATTCTGGGTCTCCAGGATCAGGCTCTGGGCGCTAAACCACTGAGCCACCGGCGCTGCCCAAGGGCATGTAATTTGGAGCCATAACATCTTTGGTTTGAATACTGACTTTTCCAGCTACTTAGTCTGTAACCATGAACAAGTTTTGTAATCTTGCTGTACTATTTTACTTATTTACAAAAGGAAGAAAATTAATGCACCTGTATTTAATGAGATTATATGTGTTAAATGCTTAGTGCAAGCCTAGCACCTAGCCAATATAATAACTGACTACTAACTATAACCAGCGTGGTTATTATTTTTTCTCTACATTTACAAGGTTCCTCCTCTGTTCCAGGTGTTGTCCTGGGTATTGAAGATATAAAGATGAAAAAGACACAGTCTTTGTCCTCAAGGATCTCATAGTCTAGTCGTATGAACCAACTTAGAAAAATTAAAATACCAACATAATACAAGAACTATTAACCTTGGCTACGTTTTGGGTGTTGAGGGACAGTTTTTTTCTACTTGAGATCTTTCATTCATTAACATAGATTACTTTTATAATAAAAACTAATTATATAAAAAAACTAATAACTATAATACACTGTAGTAGATGCTATTATTTCAGATATGCATACAGTGCTATAAGAACGGGAAAACTGATTTGTCAGGGAAGCCCTTGCATCTTAGCCTTATCATCTTCATCAGACTTTCCCAAAGTCTACTAAGGTACACATCTTTGCAGAAAGCCTGACCAAAATAATCAGGTGCTAAAGACTGTCCATGAAATGGACAGCTGTGCCACTTTATGTATTGCTGTAGCTGTGCCACTTTATGTATTGCTGTCTCTGACACAGCTGCTTTAACCTCCCAAGATTTTGCATTTTATAAGACTGCCTGTGTTTTTGAGTGACACTGAGTAGGCTGAAGGTAGAATGACTTTTAAACTTCATAATGGAAGACTACTCTTTGATATGAAAGGTATAGTTGCCTCTTTCATTTCTGTTCGTTCTATACAAGAACCGTAGGACATGACTGAAGTCTAGCCTGAAATGGGGCCTCAGCTTCACAGAATAAAGAGGAAAGACTTTGAAATCCCCCTGGAGTTTTGGTCAGCCTCTCCTTCCTCAGCCCTAAACAACTAGAAGCTCTTTGAGAGTGCAAGAACCAATCTGCATAATCCAACTTCCTGTGGCATCATAGACCTGTCCACTATGTAATTCGGGGTATGGGATCCCTGGTTTTTTTTCAAGCTGATGTCTATTTAGACCTAACCTCAGGATTTCTCATAGCTTGTTAACTTGCTTTTTAAGTAAATTTATCAACATTTTAGTTTATAACTTTCTGCTCTTACTCAGCTTATTTAAGAAGAATTGTCAAAAAAAATCAGTTATGTTCCCTAATGCCAAATGTCCACTTTCCTTATTGTGTTATTAAGCTAAAAGTAGAATTGTCTATAATTTTTTCCTTATCTGTTTTCTTAGCTTTCAAAGTAATTTGTGTTTAAAATGAAAGATGGATAGGCTTATTGCCATAATTTAGTTGTGTTGAACTGTTTGGCTGTAACTTTAGTGATGATGGAGACCAGATTTGTGAGCCGTGGGATCTGTTCTGCTTGGATCTGACAGTTGGCTGCATTAAATATCTTGGAGCATTTTCCTTTGCATGAGGGTAGGAGGTCAGGAGGGTGGGAACAGCAGTGGAAGAAAGCAACCCACTTGATTTAATGTGCTGCATTTGTTTACTGATTCCAATAACATTGTGCAGCTGTTTGAACAGCTGCCTTTTTGATTTCCTTTTGTTTACTGTTTAGGTTTATTAAGCTTGTCTGTGATACCTGTTTACTGTCTGCCCTTTAACTAACTTTCCTTCTTTATTAAATATATTTTAACATGTGCCAGTTTCTTTCAGCCCAGGCATGCTTTGATGGTTTAACAAAGTCACCTTTCTGAAAGAAAATTTTTTTAATTCTGTAGATCATTCTGAAGGTGGTTTGGTTTTGCTTTCTTGTTGTTCCTTAGCTTTATTATTTTTATTTATTTATTTATTTAAGATTTTATTTATTTATTCATGAGAGACAGAGAGGCAGAGACATAGACAGAGGGAGAAGCAGGCTCTCTGCAGGAGCCCGATGTGGAACTTGATCCCAGAACTCCAGGATCGTGCCCTGAGCCAAAGGCAGATGCTCAACCCCTGAGCCACCCAGGCATCTCAGCTTTATTGTTTTTAGTCAAATGTTTTATAATTTGGTGAATAAATTACTTTAAATCATCAGACTAACTATAAAGTACATGAATTTTGTTTTATCTACTTTCTGTGAACAGATTGGATAGGCATGTACATAAAACCACACGCAGCCAAAAGATTAATCTTGAATTTGTCAATTTTCTTATTTAGTCAATTTAGGCAGATTTAAATGCAAATTTATTCAGTATTATGGTAATTTTGTTCTCTTTATACAGGTGAGGGACTTGTCCGTTGCTTATATGCTGGTGACATTAACTTACCTCTATATTGGAGTCCTGGTTTTTGCTTCATTTCCTTCACCACCATTAACCAAAGATTGCATAGAGCAGGTAAGGCACTAGGTACTCTCTTTTTATGATTGTTTACACCTTCATATCTGCAAAGCAGCTGGGGTGAAATAGTAGCAAGTTATAATACCAGATAGACCTGGGTTTGAATACCATCTCTACTGTTTACTCTGCATGTGAACATTTAGGCACCTTCACCATCCTTTCTAAACTTCAGTTTCCTACTCCATTAAACAGTGTAATACATACACCACAGATTTTTAAAGAGACTCTCAAGAAAGCATACTCTACTTGCTGGCCCCTTGTGGTACTCAGAATAGATCATTTCTATTATGTGCATAGTATTTCTCTTTGTTTGGAAAACTGTTACTAGTGCTATTCATGAATTTATAAAACCTCCACTGAGGATACATCAGCCTCCTTATTTTCCAAGGCACAGATCTTGAAATGTCCTGGATTATCTGATGTCTTCACTCATCAGTCCTAAATGATAGGTCTCATTCATTTTTGTACAGTACGGCAGGCAGTAAAAGATTATGTGGCTGTTAAAAACCAAGGGAGAGATGGAAAGAATAGAAGAAAAGATTTTACAAAAATGGTTACACAAGTAGTATGTTCTTTGATTTGACCCATCATAACCTTGGGAATAGTACAATTTCTAGTGTAATGTGACTGACAAAATTTCCCACAAAAATAGTATTTTACAGATGAGTTTCTCTCTAGTCAGAAGAAATTTCTCTAATAGTATAGTAGAATATACTGTATGATTTATCAGGGATGAATTATAAGAGTTATTTCAGCATATTAATATTAGTAATGTTCTCATCCTTATAAGAGAAATAAGTTTGAATTATTACTGTTATGATAGCTTGAAATGTTCTTCTCTTGATTTCTATGATTCCAGTTCTTTGGCAGGCAGATGTTCACTGAAAATTCCCCTCATGCAAACAATCCCATATAAAACCCACTCCCTTGGGAATAGGAATATCTATGGTATTCACATTTGAAAGGAAATGAAAAAACTCTGAGTAATTAACTTTTCTTTTAGATGCCAAACTAAAATGGAGAAAATCATCAAAGAAAATAGAAATAAATCCTTTTCTTCTTAGTTATAAGCTATAAATAATAATGATTCTAGGTGATACTCTCACATTATTCTATAATCTGTAATTTGAAAGTATTATGATGCTTCAAGGGAGGAAGAGCAAGGGAACCAGTGAGGATCAAATAGCATTAAATTAAATTAGCCATCTAAATGTATTAAATTTATGCTTGTACCTTAGAGAGCATTTTTTAAAATTTTTTTTTAATTTTTATTTATTTATGATAGTCACAGAGAGAGAAAGAGAGAGAGGCAGAGACATAGGCAGAGGGAGAAGCAGGCTCCATGCACCGGGAGCCCGATGTGGGATTTGATCCCGGGTCTCCAGGATCGTGCCCTGGGCCAAAGGCAGGCGCCAAACCGCTGCGCCACCCAGGGATCCCTACCTTACAGAGCATTGTTTTTGAGACTGTGAAGGGCAAAGTTTCCTTTGTCATTGTTTCAATGTCAAATCAATTGCAGGCCAATACTTTTGTAAAAAAGTTTCTAAACACTTATTTCAATTTCTGTACTTAGCTTATTGAAAATAATAGTAAACAGTTTGTAGATGAGTATCGGTCCACAAACCACAATTTGAGTGGCATCTGTGTTCCAAATGAGCAAAAGACATTCTATTTTATAAATTTGTGTACACTGAATTGATTTTTAACATTACTTCATTATCTTTCTTCGATTAGAATTTTTTAGACAACTTCCCCAGCAGTGACATCCTGTCATTCATTGCAAGGATATTCCTGCTGTTCCAGATGATGACTGTATACCCACTCCTAGGCTATTTGGCTCGTGTTCAGCTACTGGGCCATGTCTTCGGTAACATTTATCCTAGGTAAGGGCTCTTCTCTTGACCAGCAAGATGTGCCAAGCAACAAATGACTGTGCAAACAGGTCATTTTAAAATGTGACTGATCCTTTTGCTGTAAAAATTTGCCTGATGAAAACGGTTACTAAGGATAGATCACAGGTGTCCTTTTCCCTGAAGAGCTGTAAAATTAGAAGCCGCTTCCTCATCTAGAATGATTTAAAGTTAATTCCTGCTGGTATAGTCATGTTAGCTCTCATACCAGTTATATTTATCATATGATCTGTTTGCCATAAATCCACACATTGCCAAGAAGTTAATAGAATATAGTTACTTGTATTAGCAATGTATGGCTAATGAGAAGTAACACTTTTATTTTAATTATTGGTTATCAATATATATTTGTATATTTATTAACATTCATGCATTTTTACTTAAATCATGGTTGTTTAGAATTGAAGGTAAGAAATGTAGCAAGTTTAAATTTCTATTTGCTTCTGTAGCTACTGCTGTATATTTTAATCTTACTGATGATGGGGCAGTTTTGAGTCCTTTTTAAAATCTATTCAAAGTTATTTAATCTAAGAGAAATTTCCATATATTGCTTCAGGGTTTCCCTGTAACTTCATTTTGGATTCCTGGTTAACTCCTACTCTAACATTAAATTTTAATATAAATTCACCCTACTAAAAAGTACCCAGTCCTAACCTATTTTATTTGAAATAAATGGTCTCAAATGAAGAGAACTTTTGGATAAAAATCAGTTCTTTAAAGTGAACCAATGCAGTCTGTTCCCTCATTAAGTAAATAATTACTATAAATATGTTGATTTAAAAACCAAAAACTTGTAAAAGCAAAAGTCAAGAGGTACCTCCTCTCTAACATGGACAGTAGCAACACCTACAGTTATAACATTGTTCATCTGGAAGGCTGGAGTTTAGTGCATATAAAATTCCTGTTGTATTTATGCCCTGTGTTGTATTGACATTCACCAAAATAAAATAAATACAGTGAAGTTGTAGATGAAAAAGTTCTGGGTAAATGAATTATTCCTGTTTTCTGCCATTATTTTGCATAATGGTGGCTCTTAGAGTGCTTTTTCCTCTTGGAAATAATCTGAAAGTTCCCTTTTGTGTTCAGATTACATTTCTTTCTTTACCAACATACTATATAATAACATACTATCATTTGTCCTACAGTTACAAGTGCTCTACTGGACTGCATATTTCAGAGCATACATTTTTGGGCTCAGCACTTCCTTTATACTCTTAAAGTTTATTGAGAACCCCCATAAACTTTAGTTTATGTGGGTTATATCTATTAATATTTAACATGAAAAATTAAAACAGAATTTTTAAAATATTAATTAACTTATTTAAAAAACAATAATAAAACCATTATTTGTTTAAAAATAACAAATTTTTTTCAATTGGAGTTCAATTTGCCAACATATAGCATATCACCCAGTGCTCATCCCATCAAGTGCCCCCCTCAGTGCCTGTCACCCAGTCACCACAACCCCCTGCCCACCTCCCTTTCCACTACCCCTTGTTCGTTTCCCAGAATTAGGAGTCTCTCATGTTCTGTCATCCTCACTGATATTTTCACTCCTTTCCCCTTTATTCCCTTTCACTATTTTTTATATTCCCCAAATGAATGCGACCATATAATGTTTGTCCTTCTCCGACTGACTTATTTCACTCAGCATAATATCCTCCAGTTCCATCCACGTCGAAGCAAATGGTGGGTATTTGTCATTTCTAATGGCTGAGTAATATTCCATTGTATACGTATACCACAGCTTCTTTATCCATTCATATTTCGATGAACACCGAGGCTCCTTCCACGGTTTGGCTATTGTGGACATTGCTGATATAAACATTAGGGTGCAGGTGTTCTGGCGTTTCACTGCATCTGTATCTTTGGGGTAAATCCCCAGCAGTGCAATTGCAGAGTCGTAGGACAGCTCTATTTTTAACTATAAAAATGACATACTTAATGAAAAATAATTGTTTCAAAAAAACTTTTGTTTTACATTTTCAAAACTTTCTAAGTTTTTTTAATTAATTAATTTAAAATTTTATACATTCATGAGAGACAGAGAGAGAGGCAGAGACACAGGCAGAGGGAGAAGCAGGCTCCCTGTGGGGAGCCCAATGTGGGACTGGATCCCAGGACCCGGGATCATGCCCTGAGTGGAAGGCAGATGCTCAACCACTAAGCCACCCAGACATCTCTTAGGTTGTATTTATTTAAGTAATTTCCACACCCCATTTGGAGCTTGAACTCATGACCCTGAGATTAAGGGTTGAAGCTCTTCCAGTAGCCAGCTGGGCACCCCAACATTTTCAAACTCTTTTTAATACCTGCTTTGCTAGTAGATTATTGGATTCCCCTATCTTCTGCATTCAGTCTGTTGTAATATGTTATTTAATTTAAAAGGGAGTTTTTTAAATTAAAAAACTTCAATTAATAAAGTTTTTATTTAATGGCCTTTTCAAGTTGTTATGGATATTTGATACTCTGCTGAACCTTAACAAGTGGTAGTTTCTTGTAAGTTAGTTGAATCAGCAACTCACTGATATTAAAACCTCCTGGTCTGTCTTATACTTTAGATCCTTTACCTATCGTTTTTATATCATGTTTAATCATTTGAAAAATATCATTTCACTGAGTTCTGCAGGTCTTCCAAATGTTGACACACTTCATTATATAATATCAAAACACACATTCATATTGCCAACCAGTTTCTTTTTTTTTTTTAATTTTTATTTATTTATGATAGAGAGAAACAGAGGCAGAGACACAGGCAGAGGGAGAAGCAGGCTCCATGCACTGGGAGCCTGACGTGGGATTCGAACCCGGGTCTCCAGGATCGCGCCCTGGGCCAAAGGCAGGCGCTAAACCGCTGCACCACCCAGGGATCCCCCCCCCTTTTTTTTTAAGATTTTATTTATTTACTCATGAGAGACACAGAAAGAGAGGCAGAGACACAGGCAGAGGGAGGAGAAGCAGGCTCCATGCAAGTAGCCGACGCGGGACTCAATCCCGGGAATCCAGGATGAGGCCCTCAGCTGAAGGCAGATGCTCAACCTCTGAGCCACCCAGCTGTTCCAACCAACCAGTTTCATTATAGAAGCTGTTAAATACTGGAAAACTGTCAAGCTCAGAGTGGCAAATGTGTCATCCAAAACTCTAGTTTTTATTTGAAAAATAAAATTTTATCATTGGCCACACATACCTTCCTTGAAGTGACAAAAACTCATAATCACTCATTTAAAAAAAAAAAAATGTCAGGATACCTGTGTGGCTCAGCAGTTGGGTTGCTGCCTTTGGCTCAGGTGCTGATCCCAGAATCCAGAATCCAATCCTCGAGTCCCGCATTGGGCTCCTGCAAAGAGCCCGCTTCTCCCTCTGCCTATGTCTCTGCTTCTCTCTCTCTCTCTCATGAATAAATAATTTTTTTTTTTTTAAGTCTTGTCAAGTACCCAAGTCTGAAGAACCACAGTCTGTCTTTCAAGTAAAAATAGCATTCCTTGGGGCGGCCCTGGTGGCGCAGCAGTTTAGCGCCACCTGCAGCCTGGGATGTGATCCTAGGGACCTGGGATCGAGTCCCACATCAGGCTGCCTGCATGGAGCCTGCTTCTCCCTCTGTGTCTCCTTCTCTCTCTCTCTCTCTCTCTCTCTGAATAAATAAATAAATAAATCTAAAAAAAATAGCATTCCTTGGGAAAAAAAGGGCTAGGTTGCTCCGTGCTCACTTGCACAAGTACTTTTCCTCAAGATAACCATTATACTTCACTGGGTAGCAGATATGCTGTATTATATATTTCCTAATTGATCACACAGAATAGTAAAAAAAGATGTGTATTCAAAGCATGAGATTTAGTAAAACTAATAATTTTTACTTTTCTCTGAAGGTCTATGTTTTTGAGTGTTTGGCAGTAAGGCATACAGTAAAAAATACATAGAGGTGCAACTGCCTCTAGCTATGCTAAGGGGCCAGCAGTTTTACCCACAATTGCTTTTGCAAAGCAAGTAATGTCTTTTATGATTTGAAATTAATCTTTACCTCAGTGACTTCCTGAAAGGGTATTGGGACCTTCCTTGGGGTTGGTGGTTATACTATGAGAACCACTTCTTTGGAAAATACACAGTCGTTTCCTTTTATGACATAGAAATAACAGAGGCCCAGCCATTGTCTCAAAGCTCTGGAGCAATTTTAAAGTTGAGTTTCTGGATAAATAGCAAGATCTGGAAGCCTGAATATCTTTGTAATTCATCAGAATGTATGACTAACTACTTATTTGTGTAAATAATTTTCCTCATTTTTGTTCTCTCTGTAATCTTTATCTGGGATTAATTGCCCTCGGATAACTTGGGCTCACAAGATTGCTTTGATGTGTAAATTTGGCTTTTAAGAATCATCTTTTTTGGGAAATGGAGTTATTTCTTGAGCATCAAATTTTATCTACATTTTTCTATTTATGGTAAACACTGAATATCTTTAAGTGGGTGAATCTGGAAAATGAAAACCTGCCCATTTTGCCTTTCCCTTAATATAAATTGTTACCTTGCTGTATATCTAGGATACTTATGTTTTTGCCACAAATATCTTTGTTAATAGCTTTTTTCATATTTTTGTTTACTGTCCTACGAATCTTTTTTTTTTTTTTTAAGATTTTATTTATTTATTCATGAGAGACACAGAGAGAAAGGCAGAGACTCAGGCAGAGGGAGAAGCAGGCTCCGTGCAGGGAGCCTGATGTGGGACTCGATCCCCGATCTCCAGGATCACACCCTGGGCTGAAGGGGGCACTAAACCGCTGAGCCATCCCGGCTGCCCATTCCTACAAATCTTAACCTATTCATATATTTGCACAAAAGGACCAGGGTCATTATGCCATCACCAGCATTGATTACTATTGATGGCTTCTCTTTTCTCCGCTTTTTGATTTTATTATCAAGTTTAAAACATTCTCATTTTGAAGATACTCATAATGAATTTTATTCTTGTATTAATGGTTATCATTTGCCCGTTTTTATTTTTTCCTCCAAATTCCCTCCTCAACTTCTAGCATTTTCCACGTGCTGATTCTTAATCTAATTATTGTGGGAGCTGGAGTGATCATGGCCTGTTTCTACCCAAACATCGGAGGAATCATAAGGTACAACCTATAAGGGAACTGTGTCCCTTCATGTATGGGTCTTTATTTTTATGCTTTTCTTGTTGATATTGTCCTCATCATTGTTGTTAATTTAATTGTACAAAGTTTTTGTGAGTACCTAAAACTGGAAACATTTAAATGTAGTTCCTCTTAAGGTACTCATTTTCTTCCATTGCACTGCTTCTTCCTGATTTTAGAAGCCTCATTATCCCTTAGACATCTTTCCCTTTCTCTTTTTCTTTTTTTCATCATTTCCTTTGTACCTTTTTCTCTTTATCCAAAATTTAAAAAAAAATTAATATATAATGTATTACTTCTTGGAGTACCTGGAGATCACTTATATTTGTTAAGGCTGTGTTGTAACTTTTTTTTTGTTTGAGAATAGTTGAAATATTTTTAATAATAGAAACAACCACTATGCTATTTTTACTTTTATTTAAATTTATTATGAGTTTAGGTAGGAATTTAGATCCCAGATGGCTCTTTACTTAATAGACTTTTCTTTAGTTATTAGACTTTCTCTAAAAATACTGTGATAGGTTGAGTAGATGAGGAATAAAGTTGTGATCTCAGATTCTCATGGAAGACCTAGAGGTTACGATGATCTGATTTCTCTTCCTCGACCTGTAGAACGCAGGGCTGAGTTACTTTTTTGAAACAAAAGGAGAGAGTATTTGCCCTGTGCTTATTGAATATAATGGATTTACAAGTTTCTGTTAAGCTGAGGATAGGGTAAGGGAGAAAAAAGTTCAGGTTCCTCTGTCAGTGTAGTGTTGAGGTATCTTTGATAATTATGCTGAACACCACAGAGGTACTCATCTGTTCTTATTATTAACAGATGCTAGCAGTCCTTCAAAAACTCAATGCATAATTAGTTTATAAAAGATCAAAGATAGGAAGCCTATATCTCCATATGTTTCTGAGGAAATAGCCACAAACATGGAGACAAAGAAGAACTATGGAAATTGGAGAGATGAATAAAAAACTCTGTCAAGCAGATGCTATAAAGATGAACAGGAAATAATATTTTATATTAACTTAGGAAGTAAAATGTTTTCAACTCAAATGCTTTATGTCAGCAACAGTTGAATAAAAAATAACTTTGTTGCAATATCAGACTGAAGAGGGTTTAAATTATACTATATAAACCTTAACTGTAAATCAGATAAAGCAAAATGCAAGGTTAATATTAACCCAAAAAGTTTTTATTTTGCAGGTATTCGGGAGCAGCATGCGGCCTGGCCTTTGTATTCATATATCCATCTCTCATCTATATAATATCCCTCCACCAAGAAGACCGTCTAACATGGCCAAAATTAATCTTTCACATTTTCATCATCATTTTGGGCCTGGCTAACCTGATTGTTCAGTTTTTTATGTGAAATACTCAAGGTCTTCTCAATATCTTTCATGGCATTTTGAACTTTGAGAACAGCTCCACATAAATTCACTTGTAAATGCTATTGTTGCTGTAATTCTAAATGTCTTCCTAAAATCATTTTAAAAGGGGGGTCGGGGAATAGTAGTCCATGAATAAGTAATTTGGATTAGAGTGGAGAAAGGAGCAAGAAGAATGACCTTTGTCTCTTTTCAAATTTACCACCCCTTCATTCTCACTGTCTTTTCTGAGTAGAAGTGTATGCCCTTCGAAAAAATGCTGGGTTTTGCTTTTTATGGATATAAGGTGGGTAGGTTTATTTTGACTACAGTAAGGATTCTCAGGGTATCACAGCAACTATTGCCAGATGCTATTTCTGTCTTATGTTTCAGTGTATTCACTTTCATTTTATTGCTTGCTAGACCATTTCTGCAGTTTATCCAAACATGTATTGTTTGGGACAGTAAACCAAATACCTCATTTGTAAAAAGAATTCTCCATGGCATCAGTGTTAATAGAGTGAACTCTTAACTGCATCCTTTATCTCTATTTAAAAGAGAAAGAAAGAATGTCAGTAGGGGGGCTCTTTGGTCATGAAACTTAGACAAAATAAACAAACTAGGAGAGTTTGTTGCCTCTGACTTCTTTTTTCTAATCTAGTACTAGTAATTTAGGTCAAAATGCTAGCACCCCCAGCCAGATTTTGCATAGGAACCAATATGATTGTCTCCATACACCCAAAAGGGCTCTTTTGCTATTTGAATCCTTTAACATTGCACAGGATGTCATGACAGTACCAGTGGGGAAGCATTTAGGAAGCAAGTAACTGTCTCAGGTACATGAATCCTTACAAGGGAAAAGGGAAATGGAGAAGGGGCCAGAAGAGTGAGGCCTCCTGCCCAGTATATTGTAAGGGGTTGAAATGTTTCTTTACCACAGGAAAGGACTAATCCTTTTTGAGGTAAGACTTGCAAGAAGGGGACCCCCACCACCACCACCCCCACTGCCTTACTTGTTAACTGACAGGGTAGAGATTAAATCCCATAAGAAAAATCTCTTTGGATCTGAGAAAAGGATTAGGGAATCTGGATTCTTGAAATTAACTCTCCTCTTTTTCATTCAAACTAAAATCTAAACCCAAATTCAAACCCATGTCTTCCGACTTCATGTTCAGCTTGAAAAGTTAGATTTCTCTGATTTTAGGCTAACGTTAAAAAGTATATTTTGTGGGACACCTGAGTGGCTCAGCGGTTAAGTGTCTGCCTTGGGCTCAGGGTGTGATCCTGGAGTCCACGGATCAAGTCCTACATTGGGCTTCCTGCATGGAGCCTGCTTCTCCCTCTGTCTATGTCTCTGCCTCTCTATCTCTCTGTGCCTTTCATGAATAAATAAATAAAATCTTTTTTTAAAAGTATATTTTGTTAATACACATTCCACATTCTAGGGTAGTGTGTAGATTTATTTATGTTACTTTCTATTTCTGAGAAGGACAGGCAAAATGGTTTTTGAAAGACCGGTGAGGGGCACCTAGGTGACTCAATCAGTTAAGCATCTGCCTTCGGCTCAGGTCATGATCCCAGGGTCCTGGGATGGAGCCCCACGTCCTCCCGCTGAGCTGGGAGCCTGCTTCTCCTTCTCCCCCCTCCTCTGTCTGTCTCTCTCACTCTCTCTATCTCTCTCTCAAATAAAATCTTTTTTAAAAAAGAAAAGAAAGGTGAAATGGTCTTTTCTAAAGCCTGGTAAAGAGCCCAAAATTTCAGACCACCCATAATTTCTTTGAGTAAAAACTTCTGTCTATTCCATAGACAGGTGTATGGAAAAATCATGGTATTTCTTAAAGTTCTTTTTGTAAAAGTTTCATGAAAATTCTCAAGCATACTCAAAAGTAGAGAAAATAATAGGATAACCCTCCCACATCCCCATTCCTTATATTTAGTAATTATAAATCTTTTTTTTTTTAATTTTTATTTATTTATGATAGTCACAGAGAGAGAAAGAGAGAGAGGCAGAGACATAGGCAGAGGGAGAAGCAGGCTCCATGCACCGGGAGCCCGATGTGGGATTCGATCCCGGGTCTCCAGGATCGTGCCCTGGGCCAAAGGCAGGCGCCAAACCGCTGCGCCACCCAGGGATCCCAGTAATTATAAATCTTAAGCTGTATTTGCTTCATCCGTTCTTTTTTTTCTTTTCCACTGTAATATTTTAAAGCCAACCTCAGACATTATGTTATTTCATCTTCACAACCATTAATATGCAGTAAATGGAGCCAGGCTCAAAAGTTTTTGGTTTTTTTTTTTAAGATTTTATTGATTCATGAAAGACACAGAGAGAGAGAAAGACAGAGACACAAGCAGAGGGAGAAGCAGGCTCCCTGCGAGGAGCCTGATGGAGGATTCGATTCCAGCACCCCAGGATCATGCCCTGAGCCAGAGGTAGATGCTCAACCACTGAGCCAGCCACCCAGGTGTCCCTGATTAGAAGATTCTGCAATAAGTGTCTGTATCCCTATGATAACCTCTTAGAGTATACACGGAGGAAATGTCTCTATGCTTGGGAGCTCCTGCACCTTTGTGACTTCAGTCTTACTCAGAGACATAGGAATCAAAAGTTACCTAACTCCTTAAGACTAACGTTTAGTCCCTATTTATCCCTAGTCCCCTCTCTCTGAAAACTTCAGAAACAGAATTTTCATTTATTTCCTCTTTTCAGAAATATACTTGAAAGTTTTAACACATGGAAAAATAACTTGGTATATCTTTGTCCATGTAATAATCAAAATGAATATGACAGTGCATTATTTACTGAACTAAGAAGGAATGTGGATATTTGTTTTTTTCTTTAAAAGACTTAATAAGGGCATCCCTGGGTGGCTTAGTGGTTTGGGGCCTGCCTTCAGCTCAGGGCGTGATCCTGGAGTTCCGGGATCGGGTGCCGCATCAGGCTTCCTGCATGGAGCCTGCTTTTCCCTCTGCCTGTGTCTCTGCCTCTCTCTGTGTGTGTCTCTCATAAAAATATAAATAAAATCTTTAAAAAAATAAAAGACTTAAATAATTTAGAACTTCCAAAATCCTACATTAGGCTTATACTGAATGATTTTGCTTTAAGTTTCTTTTCATGAAACTGATGCCTTTGGCTCATTTAGCTTGGCCAGATGCTGTCTATGTGAGTGTGTATGTCCTGGCTCATACATTGGAATGATGAGATATGAATTCATTTGGATCACATTATAATTTTAAACTTTCTCTACTTTTGCCTTTTCGAATTTTCTAATTAAATTTGTTTTACTTATTTTACTTTACCACTCTGATGTATGTAGCTAACCTTAGTGTCTTTGAATTTTGCTGATTTAACACACAACTGAGGACATTATAAAATTTAAAATGGCTTATTTAGAGTTTTCCCTAGAAAGTTTCGATGAAAATAGATTATGCTCATATTGGACCAAAAAGATCAAAGAAATGCCCTCAGACATTTGATACCTGCAGATAATCATCCAAAATCAGTTTCCCCATCACACCCAAAAAAATTATTACAGTAAAGAATGAATTTACCCACAAAAAGGGACTGTATTAAAAGGAAAAACTCACTTTACTCACATTTTGCAATCTCTTTTGACATTCGTTTCCATAAATAAACTACTACATTCAGTGCTTTAGAGGAGTCCAAGGTATGTGAGATTTCATTCATATTCTAAAAGAACTTTAGTAAAGAACTAGGTATGTAGTTAACTATAATACAAGGGACCATTGGAAAAAATAAAACCCCTTCCAGTTGGGATCTTCAAGAGAACTGGCAAAAAAAAAAAAAAAAAGTGGGGTAAAGCAGCAAGGACCCATTTTCAGACTCCTAATAACTCCAAAATTTTGGATATTTGATACATTCACCATCATATGAGATCATGTAAAGTATAATGGCTTTTATTTTGGCAATTATAAATTACTATTCTAAGTATTATATCATTATAAATAATATATTTTTCTAAGAAATTTTGTGAGAAGTATTTAACTGCTTCAGTATACTATTTATTGTTCTCTTTGCATTTTTAAAAGTACATTATTCACTTCTCCGAATCTTGGACAGCAAAGCACAGTTGCTTAATAGGGGAAATAAGTAGTAACATATTGGGCAATGCAAATGGATTCCATAAAATTTTCTCTCCAAAGACTTGACTTACTTAACTATCAGGAGTCAAAATGTCAAATGTTTGAGTTCATTGATAAAAGCAAAAAGTATTGGTGCTGCGTGTTTTCTTTACAAAGCACTGACCTTATTGCTTTTTAGAATTTGGTGGTGGCAGTTTGTTTTCTTATCCCAATTTGAATGTCCCAAACAAAACCTAAATCTAGTTGACACTTAAACAATAGAATGTTACATTAGTTTGTGATCCAAAGTGAAATGCGCACAAGGCGGTCTGGCTGGCCCGTTTCACAGCTGACTGCCCACTTCACTTCAGATTATGTAAACACGTATTGCAAAACAGCCCTGACGGGAACCTCATAACCTAAACAGCATTCTCTGAAATGTAATTTGTTGTCTTTTTATATAAAAGAAGAAATTAAGTCAAAATTATTTTGAAGAAAAACAACTCCGGGATTTTATTTAATTGAACTTTACCAGGAAATGCTATTATTGCCAGTAGCACTGACGTCAGGCCAAAGAGAAGCTGTTACATATTTCCACAGGGTCAAGCTTCTCTAACGATTTAGTGCATGTCACATCAAGTCACTGAGTGCCGCTTCTGTCACCTTTGGCAGCAAGGAGACCTCCCTTAGTGTTCTGTTTTGGAGAAAGGTATGTACTAGGTTATGTTAACTAAAATCTAAAATGATCACCCCTTTCGGACAATAAACTGTTGTGATCGCTCCCTGCAAAAATAATACAAAATGAATGTGGCACTTGAGGTAAGTGTACTTCAACTTCTGGCAAAGAGCTAGGTGTCTTAATCTTCCAGAGCCACTTAAGGGCAATAAAGAGCTCCAATTTTCTGCCTTCCCTAAGTAAAGTTTATTTTTTTCCTCAATATCATTTATGTATACTTCCCTACTCTTCTGCAAAGAGAAAATAAGGCTGTCTTTTTAAAAGATTAAAAACTTCCCCGGATGCGTATTCATTTTGGGCCATAAAAGTAAGGATTAGGATTGGGATTTGAACTGGAAATAGCATACTCTCTGGATTTTTCCTCCTTTGGCCCTCACTTGATCCCAAGTGATTCAATTTTATTTGGTCATAGAAGATACAATATATTATTAAGTTAATGAGAGAGATTCGACTTTAATGGAAAACAAATTATTATTTTCTAAAAATTTTTTCTGTCAATCCACCCCCACAAAATAAATAAAACGAACTAGTTTGGTCAGAGTCAGGATTAGGCCCTCAGTAAATGTTTAAAAATTTACTGAATGTCAAACCCTGTGCTAAGCACAGAGTATAGAGTAGTGAACAAACTGGATGTGACCCTGACAGTTTAGCATCCTTTGCCCACCCTCCTGTGTACCAGCAGCTGGTCGTTTTCCTTAAGTGTCACTGAAACACCATGCATTGACCTTTTCCTTCTGCTCTGTCTCCATTGAAGGCTGGGATGTAGCCACATCATACACATTTTCAAGAGATAAGTATAGGATAAGTGCAA